TTAGGAGTCTTAAAGAACAATAGCAAATGTTTGATGGAGTTCCTTCCACCCACCCATTGGCTCCAAATGGTGGAAGGTTGTTTTCAAATCGGATCACTGATCACTCCCAGGCGCCCTTGTATGACTGCGCCAATGGGGGACACTTCACTGAGTAGTGAAAAAGGTACATGCCTGTGATCTGGCTGGGAAACGATGTGTTGGCATTAATGGTTCTTGAGGAATCAGTGGAAGCATCTTCCTGCCATTTGTCTGTGTCTCTGCCAAAGAATTTATAGGGCATAAACATGATATGCTGTCTTGAAATTTTTTAAAAAAGACAGGGAAACCAGCCAAGCTCTGCATCCCACATTCCTCTGAATTTCCCATAATACAGGCTGTGAGGCAGGAGGAGGCCCTGGGATTCAGCTCTCTTCCCAAGGATGTCAAACACAGTGTCGTTTCCACCAAGATTTGGGGAGCGGTTTTGGAATGGCTTTGGAAGTCTTGCAATGTAGAGCAAAGATGAACTGGAGTGAGAAAAAAACTGGTGAGGAGGGGTGCTCTCCTGGGTTCATTTGTTCTTCTGGTCGTTCATATAGAAACCATTCGTTCATTCACAGAACGAAATCTGCCTTAATAGTTTGCTAATGTTTAAGGAGCGCTTTTGTGCCCAAAAAGAACGTCTTAGAATTTATTAGGTTTTACTATTCAGTTTATTAAAGATTTGAGTTTTTATTTATTTATTTATTTATTTTTTTGAGAAAGAATAGAGCACGAGCAGGGTAGGGGCAGAGAGAGAGGGAGACAGAGGATCTGAAGCAGGCTTTGTGCTGACAGCGGAGAGTCTGATGCGGTGCTCGAACTCATGAACAGTGAGATCATGACCTGAGCCCAAGTTGGATGCCTAATCAACTGAGCCACCCAGGCGCCCCAAAAGCTTTAATTTTTAAACCTAGGTTTTCTTATAGATCTCATCTATACAACAAGTATTTTTGTATAAATTAAGATGATTTCCATTTGTTATTTGATTAGTACTTTATAAATTTAGAGTGAACAAATTGAATTTTAATGATTAGTACTGTTTGGAAACTTGGATAATTAAGCTTCCTTAAACATTTTAGATGGCATTCATAAGTTTAACACGCATGGTTTCCTCGAGCTCTTCAAATGTCTGACAGTGGGGACTTACCGGCCTAACAAGCAAAATCTTTCTAAGCACATAACTCTTGCAAGTCAAATAAACTAAAGTTATACGTGTCATAAAATAAGTTTTCTCAAGTACTGTAACTCTTTTTACAGCCTGACTCCCAGTCCTTAAACCTTTCATCTTAAAAATCTCAAGTCAGAAATCAGTACTCATTCAAAATTGAAATCACAAGACCCTTTTTCTTTAGATTGTTTAATATGCCCCCCTGTTCTTTTAAGTGTTATACATATACAGAGATTATCCCAGTGATGACAAAGATTTCATCCTATATTTAAGCGTTAATATTATGATTTACTTCATATCTGCCTTCATCTTTTGAAACCTTCATCATCTCCGGCAGGCTCCGGGGCCATTGTATGGTGTTTCACAGTCAGATTCAAGAGCAGAATGCACGGATGGCCACATCATATTCCAGAGTGATTGTTCCAGAGCCGTTGCTGAATACACTGTAGTTCTTTCTGCTGTGTCACCCGGGTCCCTTGAGCCTCGTAGCTGAAATTTCGTCTCGCCACATAGCAAACACAGATCCTCTGTGTTTCTTTCACATTTCTGTTGTAATCAGTTTCTGTAGTCCCTTTCACCATCTCTCCCCCGACCTGGGTCAGTGGACTTTCGTACCCCTGGTGCAGGTCGTACACAGTTTCCTCTGCCACTCGCTTGGACGCGACTCCTCTTGTTAACCGCATGAATGAATTCCGAACGCTTTTCTGCGCTTATCCTGTCAGACTCTCAGCCACATGCCTGGAGTCCTTTTGCAAACACATCGCACTTCCCCATTCGGTAGCGCGAGGATACCAACTGACACAAACCTGAGCGAACTCGTTTTGAGCAAAAGAACGGATTTATCCTCACATTCGGTCTCCCAGGGGTGCTTCTGTCTCTTCGGAGCCTCAGGTATGGCTCCATACGGGCGCTCACACGACATCACTCCCCCTGACTCTGCTGCCTTCTTGGGCAGGTGACGATGGAGTGGCCACTGGCAGTTCAGGCTCTACCTTCATCTCCTCCCGAGTTGTGCTTTGTTCATCTCAGCATCTCCTGTGTGGTCACGCAAGCTGGGGGACTGTGTTTTGGGCCAAGTGAAAGAGATCATCCCAGCACTTCACAGCTGTTAAGACGTGTACAGAGAACGTGAATGTCTAAGAGGGGCCCAGAAGAGCCAGCATGTAGCCCACATTCCCTTGTGAGGGTGGCATTGTTATCGCAGGGCGTCTCCTGGAAGTATTTGGAGTCCATCTTGGAACTCACCGACTCTGATCTTGGTGGCTCATGGCCACTCACACCCTGAATTTGGGGGAAAGGGCAAGTTCCAAGTAGCCGATTATACATGTAGCTAGCGTTGCCAGTATCCCGAAGGATCCAGAAGTGAAGGAGGTGTGACTGGTTCTCCAGGCGCAGGGACAGCTGGTTTCTGGCAGAAAGAATGCTCTTGCTCAGCCGGGGCTTCCCTCGGTGTCCCTGTCCCTTCATCCTCGTCACTGGTTTCCCCACTCCCACCTACCCCGGCTTCTCCCCATCTGGGCCGGCTCAGCCAGGGTAACCCCGTGATGCTCCGGGCACCAGCGTGAGAACAATCTCGTGTACAGTCAGCGCCACACTCGCCTCCAGAATAACAGCTTGGCATTGAAAGGCCATACGTGAGGAGCGGGTACAAATTCAGAGCAGAATCTCTGGGGCTTGGATTTATGGGCGTCTGTTCCTAACTTCCCTCCTTCCTCCTTGCCAGCCACCCTACCCTCCTCAATCCTCCTTCTTCCCTGGATTATAGGAAATCTTAGATACATTACACTGGTAACTCCAGAGAACAGATGCAATTAAAGACTCATGTGATTTTTTTTACCCCCCCCCCCCCCCACACACACACACACACTCGTGAGAGTAGATTTGGGTCCTTTTCCATCTGTTAGGTCACGCTTTCTGCCACAGAGCTTCACATAGGTAGCCAGCCTAGTGGTATCATCCACGTGTCACCCATAAGGAAACTGAGGCACAGGAGTTGTGACTTGTCTACGAATGAGCTGGGAGAGGGGGCTGAACTCAGAGTCCCTAGCTGGTGGCAACTTTTCGTCAGAGCTTGTCCTGTCTCGCTGAACATGAGTTCAGTCTAGAGGGGTTAATAAGCGTGTACCGTGTGCCTGGAGGTGGAGGGGACAGACTCACCCTGCAGGCGGAGGCAGGGAGTGAGGAGGCCTTTGCGGTGAGGCCCTCTAAGCCCGCGCTTCCTCCTGAGAAAGTGAGCTGCGCCACACTCCGATGTGCACTGAAAGTTGACGTAATGGAAAGCCATTTGGCGTCCCAGTAAAGAGGTAGCTCTGGAGTCACAAATGTCTGGATCCAGGTTCTGTTCCTCCTTTTACTGGCTGGCTGGTCGGTCTAGGGCAGCGTTGCCTTTCTTACCTTTCTAAGCCTCGGTCTCTCCACCTGTGCGATAGAAAAACAGTAATACTTACCTTGTTCCAGTAGATCAAGTAGATGGGGTTTCATTTCTGTCGGAAGCTTACTTGGTGGAGCACTCGACTTCTCACTCCCGTGAGTTTAAATCCACAAGTGTTTACCGAGCACCTGCTGTGTGCCTGCCACCCTGCAAGCAAACAGAGGAGAAGGTGCAGCAGGCTTGGTTGGGAGGGAGGTGGGCCTTGTAGATGCAAGGACTAGGGGAGGCCTTTCTGAGGAGGTAACACGCGAGATGAGAAAGAGGCAGGAGCCAGTGTCCAGAGAGAGGGAAAACAAATGTAGGGTCTTGAACACAAGAACCCTGTTGGCCTAGAAGGAACAGGAACCCACGCGGCCAGAGCCAGCGGGCGATGGAGAGGTGGGCACAAAGCCAGACTGGAGAGGGAGGCCGGATCAGAGGGTCTTGAGCAGCAGAGTAAGGAGTTGGGACTTTCAGTGCCTGAGAAGCCCCTGCCCTCAAGTATTAGGCAGTGGAGCCATAGGATATGTTCCTGTTTTGGAAGGATTGTCCTGCCTGCTGTGAGGGAAACAGATTGTTAGGGAGAAGCAGGCCTGGCGGCCTCTTTGCAGTAACCCAGGGGGTGCTGAGAGCCGCCGGAAGGGCACAGCGGCAGGAGAGGCGGAGGGCTGTGCGCACGGGGATACATTTTGCAGGGAAACGTGGCAGGACCGGGTGATGGGTTGAAAGTCTTGCTGGTGGTGGGAGACGGTGATGAGGAGGAGGAAGAACAGTTGCTTGGAGACTTGATTTGAGCGGTAGGCGTGGTCTCAGTGGATTTGTGGGTTGGGAAGTGAACTCTTTCAGATATGTCCTGGGATGCTTTTAGAGGTACAGCTGCTAATGGAATTGACAGGCTTCTGCCGACTGCCGTGGCTTTCCTTCCCTTGGCATTTCACTTTGGGAGTGGAGTCCAGAGAATTCGGACTGCAGCCTGTCTTCCCACTGTCACCCCAGGGAGCATGCTGCTCTGGACTCTCTCTGTCCTGCTTCCAGCAATAGTCCCCACACCCGTCACTCTTCCTCCGCTGCCGGGTCTGGGAAGTAACCATCGGCTTCTACAGAGTTCCCGAGATAAAGTTGAGGGGGGTGGGAGGTGGGTGCGTCAGCCACCTCTGCTCCGGAGAGCGTTCTCCATTGGCGGGAAGGTTTGTTTCAGCCATTTCACCCATCTGCCCATCCAGAAGAGCAAGGGTAAAAAAAGGTGGTGCCCTTGAGATGAGTCACATTAGGGGCACAAGAACTTTGCCTGGGGTCTTAGGACACAGGGACCCTTCGGGGACGGTATGCACTTGGCCACATTGTTGGCTTGAGCTGATGCAACGTGAGGTTTTTGTGCTCAGGATGTGTTTGTCTCGGCAGCTGGGATGACAGCAGCTCCGTCAGCAGCGGCATCAGCGACACCATAGACAACCTCAGCACCGATGACATCAACACCAGCTCCTCCATCAGTTCCTATGCCAACACACCTGCCTCCTCTCGCAAAAACCTCGATGTGCAGGTAAGGAACAGGCTCCCCCAAAGGCCCCTGCCAGCAGGGAGCCTCGCGCTTGTGGACCAAGGGGGCCATGTGGGGTGAGCAGAATCCCCAGGCCCGTGAGATGAGGCCTGATCCGCTCAGTGCCCGTGCACTCATTTCTCCGCCTGCAAGAGAGAAGGGGGAGTGGAAACAGGAGTGGAGACGCCTCACCGTTGTCTCTGAAGGCCTTGATGAAACCATATTTCCTTCCTGAACTTTAGTTTCAGAATCGTCTTGTTGTTGTTGTTGTTGTTGTTGTTGTTGTTGTTGTTGTTGTTGTTGTTTTAAAGAGGATGCTGGACTCAGTTGGTCATTCTGAACCTGGAGTGTGTCCCCCCCTGGGCCCCGGGAGCCACTGCCGTCCAGGGCACATGCTGGTCTCTGTAGAGTAATGAGGTGGGAGCAGACACTGACAGTCCTGGTCTGGAAGACCAGCCTGTCCTGCCCAGAGGTTGGCAACCGTCAATCTGTAGGTCACACCCTCCTGCTGGTGGGTTTTCTTTGCTTTATGGTATCATTCTCTTTTTAAAATTGCATCATTTCACCTGAAAAATGAGATTCTGGCTTCTCCTCAAAAATCGGAAGCTCTTGCTCTCTTGAACTTGTGTTCTCCGCATGGCAACAGTCAACAGGTGTCCAAGTGTCCCCACCCTTCAGACACATGTCCCTGTGTGCCACAGTTGCCACTGGCCAGCTGCGCCCTTCAGTGTACCTGCCAGATGCCCAGGTGGTTAGTTTTCAACCCCTCCTTGGAAACTCTGAGATTGTATTCCCCGGATACTGTACCACCTTATATTTGCTTCCAAAGTAGCTTCATGTGGGCACGTTCACTTCCTTCACAGCGCTCCTTGGTGGTCAGGGGGACTGGTTCTAGCAAGCCTGTTTTACTAGTGGAAAACTGAGGGGCCCTCCTCATGACCAGCCTCCAAGTTGGGACTGACCAGCACAAGGACTGGTCGACTGTGGTGGCACTGGGACTGGGAACTTTCATGGTGGGTCCCTCCCACCAGTGGGGGCCACTACCTCCAGTGAAACCACGTGAAGGTCTGATTGGGCCAGTCTCCCAGAAGGCTCTCGGGGAGGGCAAAAATGACCCTGCCCCCCTGCCTTCACTCCCTTCCACACTCGTCTCCTTTCTCAGCTCTTTCTCTGCAAGATAGGACCTGCTTTGGAAATTTCTGTGCTTTCAAAGGTATCTTTTTTTTTTTTTTTTTTTTTTTTTTTTTTTTTTTTTTTTTTTTTTTTTTTTTTTTTTTTTTTTTTCTGAGGACAGGGCTAAATAAAGAACATGTCAGAGTGTGGGAGTACTTCTGTCCCACAGAAATGTGGACACTGACTGCCTGAGGAAATATATTAGGTGTTAGCTCTGGGATTGCCTGTGACCTTTTGAATTTGCACTTTTGCCAGAATTTCTAATTATTGTTGAGTGAGAGGTGAATTGTGGCGGTTATTAAGGGGAAAAAAACGTGGGTAGGCACAGAGATGTTGGAGGTGCTGATAATATTCTAGGTCTTGATCTCAGTGGTAGTTATAGAAGTATGTTAATTTTATAAAATGCATTCAAGGCGTGTACTTAGGATTGTGCGTTTAGTATATGGATGTTATACTTCTATTTCGAAAGGTGATCTAAATCACCTGAGATTTAAATCCCTGCCTAAGAAGCATCACTGGTCGGTGATTAGACACAAGTTAGGAACACCCAGCCAGCCTGTGTCCCTGCCACCTACCCCTTGCCAACTGTCACAGTATCTACCTGTTTTCCTTTCCTCAGGGACGCTTTTTTTTTTCTGAGACTCTTTCTAATTTCAGGGTAACAGTAACCACCAAGCTTTTAGACTCTCCTTGGATACTGAGGTGGGGAACCAAGAGAGGAGAGAGAGGGAGAGACAGATAGAGAGGGACGGCCAGGGGTGGAGAAAGAGAGGGAAAGGGGGGAGGGAGGGAGAGATGAGCAAATCAGTAGGTTTCTCCTTTGTTTACTTTTGAGGTAGGATGAGTCTTGGCTTTTAAGATGACGTGGAACCAACAAAACCCTGTGTTGGAAGAATCTCCTTGTCCTTTGTTTCCCTCCCACAAAGCCAAGATAGGCATCTGTTTCCCACGTTGATACAGAGTAAGCCTCTGGGATCTGCAAATGATTTCCTATTTGATATACTCAGGTCTGGTTAATGCCAGGACCTCCTCCTCTTTGACCATCTTTGGCTTTGATCTAGAAAATGTCACCTCAAAAAAGGTTCAAATATTACACAAACATGTCTTTTGATCAGGCTTAGAAAGTTAATTTCAAGGGACGCAAGGGGTTATATTCGTCGTTTTCTTTTCTTTGCTATAAAACTACCTGAGTTTAAAATATTTAAAGAAAAATTAAGCAGGTAGGTCTTGGAATAAAATAAAGGCAGACTTGCACCCATGGTTACTAGGATTCCTGCAGACGTGGTTTCTCTGGCATCTCTTTGTTCCTGTCCAGGGAGCATCTCCAAATATTTGAATCAGCGTAAATTGCAGCCTCCCCCACTCCTCCCCTCTTACCACTCTGAGGAAAGCTAAGGGCCATTACTCCTCTCTGAGCAGCATCAGGCAACGGGAAGATGCACACTGCCATCATTCCCCAGGGCTCGTTCAGGTTTCTGTCGCAGACTGGTTTCCCCCGATCGAACGGGGAGCACACAGTGTCCCAGGCAAGGCATGGAGAGGCGGGAAGCAGCAGCGGGTCAGTGCGTCCAGCGGGAAAGCAGGCTGAGGACAGGTTGCCCGGCCGGGTTTTCGAATTTGGAAAGCCTCTGAGGAACAGCTAAAAGGAAATACATCCAAGGAACGGGAAGGTTGTTCGGAAGCCTAAGAAGCAGCCTTGTTAGCGGAGCGGATAACAGAGGAGCCGTCCCTGGGAGGTGAAAGTCCCCTTTGTCTCTGAGTGACTGTTCTCCTCGAGGATGTTGAGGGGCACTGAGGGTGCCCTCAGCGGGACGCCTATGCCCAGGTGTCCAGCACTGGGCCTGCGGTCACTGCTGTGCGGCTGGGCAGAGGATCTCCCTGCTTGAGGTTTGACAGCCTCTTGGTAGACGTTCCCCATTTGCACTGGTGAGTCTGGTTGAGCAGCCAAACCAATTGCGGTGTCAGGGAGGAGGAGAAGACTCTGAAGTCAGGGTTGAGCTCCTGCGTCTGTGGCATCCTTGGATAAGCTGATCAGACTCTTCAAGCCTCTGCCTCCTGGTCCATAGCATCACGGTAATTAGACTTGTCTTGAAGGGTGAGTGTGGTGGTGGCATGGAAATACTTATCTCAACATGCTCTCTCGTTGTCTAATTCTTGGTAGGTACTCAAGTTTCTTCTTCCTTTTTCTTCTTTCTTTCCTTTCTTCCTTCCTCTGGGTTACCTGTCCCTCTGCCTCCCTCCTCCATTCATGTCAGTAACCAGAATTTGACTGTGTTCTTAATACATTTGGCAATTCATCTTCTGTTGTGCCGCGTTTTATTTTTAGGACGTTGTGTTGGTGGCAGATGGCTTTAACAAACACACACGCGTCTCTCCCCCACATAATCGTCTATCCGTTCACGCCCTTGGTCATTCAGTGTTTCCTCTCGGTCTGTGGAAGGTTTCGTTCCAGGTGCCAAGGTCCAAAGAGGCCTATGGCACACCGCCTTACATTTTCACTTCCTGGGAAGTTTTTAATAAAATATGCAAGGCGGGGCAGATAATTCCGTGTGAGTTTAGTTTTTGCTGCTCCAGGAAATAAAGTTCTGAATTCCGTGGCAGGGATTCCTGTCCTGTGTGGCCTCAAATGAGCCTGGAGCTCTCTGGATGTTCTCTGGATGTTAGACTGGATTCAGGGATAGGGTTTGGCGAGGAGGAGGGGCGCCCCTTCTGCTCACCTGCTAGGTGCTGCTGTTTGTGACTTTAGGCAGGTTACTTTCCTTCTTCACCCCTGTACTTTCCTGGTCTGTGAAATGTGATAATAGTACAAGGTCAGAGGATTAGATGAACTAATAACGTATGCAGAGGGACACGGTGCCTACCTGGCAAGAGAAATGGCCAGGGATAATGCTGACGTTGCTGATGTTTTCTGGAATTATGATAGTTGAAGCTCTCAGTTTCTTGATCTGCAGGGGATGTAGGCATGAAGAGGGCAGGGTCCTGGCTTCTAGAGGCTGTGGCCCCAAAGCCAGGAAGACGAGTACCGTGTTCACCCTAATGTAACACAGAAACGGGAGACATGCTAAAGAAGGACAACCAAGTGCTAGGGATTTTCAGAGGTGGGAGAGTTGCTGACAAAAGAGCCACTGTTTGAGTTCCTCCACACTTAGCTCATCAGGTCTGTAAGACTCTCGTCTGTCGTATCTCCATTTTATACACAGGTCAGAGCCCCAGAGGAGGTAAGCCATGCTCTCAGGGTCACACACAACAAAGGACTGGCAGCACCCAGTATGTGAACTCACGCCATGCCCGTGTTCTCCCCCCCACATCGGGCCATGTGGCCCCCACCTCGCTTCTCAGGCCCACCTGGCTTCCACCCTCTCACTTTCCCCCTGTGATCCCGGAGCGACCTGGGCCCTCAGGGGTGAGCCCTCCAGAATTTCGGGCCTCGTCCCCACCGATGTATGGTTGTTTCCCCGCCTTCCCTCTGGGATGTTGAAGGAGTGAGTGGACTTCCAGGTAGGGGCAGTAGGGAAATCTTCTCAAAATTAGGCGCCATTTGAAATGAGAACAACTGGTGAGGGCATTGAGAGCCAAGAGAAGGGAGCGGCTCTTTGTACATCCCCCTGCAGCTGGCTTGCCACCCTTTGCTTCTCAGCTCTGGGAACAGAGACACTGGGCCTTCTTCGTTGTATCCCTAGTGGTGCCCCCATACGAGCCAAGAGAGTGTCCCAGGACAGATGCCCGCTATGCAGAGTAGAGCTGGGAAGGCTACCCGCCCTGGACCGAGTTGGGGCTGTGATGGTTGGACGATTGCTCTTTCTAGAAGGGGATTCACACCACAGTCCTGGGTCAAGACCACACACGCGCTCTCTGCCTCTGGTTACGTCAGCGTTCTGGGGGGTCGCACCCAAGGCTAGGCTGGAGCTGCCCCACGGCTGGAGTTGGAGAACAGCCAACCAGCCAGTATGGAAGGAGAATCTACTGGGTGTAGGTATTGTGTTAGGTGTTGCTAGGCATGCGGAAATGTCTCATGTCCTCGGACCTCTTTTCCGGGAAGGCCGTGTGGCATAGTGGTTGAGAGATGGGCTCTGCGTTTCAGATTCCCTGGAATCCTCGTGTCTCCGCTTTTTCACTGTGTGGTCTTGGGCAATTTTCTTTTCTACTCTGTGCCTCAGTTTTCTTATGTAAAATTGAGAACATGAACTGTAACTTCCTCAGAGATTTTTTTTTTTAGCCCAGTGCCCAGCGCATAGTAAGTACTTAATAAATGTTAGTTGTTACTGCTACTGCTTTTGGCATTGCTACAATTTGATTAGGGAAAATAAGGTACGAGAACACGAAAACAATAATACAGTAACCCAGACTGTGGTATGTGCTACATTCTCAGTACTTCCTAGAGTGCATTAGAATGGGTCCGGGGGCATCTGGGTGGCTCAGTTGGTTGGGTGTCCAACTTCGGCTCAGGTCATGATCTCGCAGCCCGTGGATTCGAGCCCCGCGTCGGGCTCTGTGCTGACAGCTCGGGGCCTGGAGCCTCCTTTGGATTCTGTGTCTCCCTTTCTCTCTGCTCCTCCCCTACTCATGCCTGTCTCTCTCTGTCTCTAAGAGATAAATAAATGTTTAAAAAAAAAAAAAAAAGAATGGGTCAGAATGTACTTGAACGTAAACTCCAGGAAATCAAGGACTTGGACTTGTTCTTATTCATTGTAGTATTCCTAGTCCCTGTAAGTTTGCCTGGCATCTAGTAGCACCCGGTAAATATTTGTGGATTGAATCCTTCCAGAGCCAGTCTCTTTCCTGCCTCAGGGCCTTTGCATGTACTCTTTCCTCTGCCTGGCATCCTCCTCCCTAAACTCTTCTCAGTAAGTTTCTTGTCACTCTTGAGGGCACTTCTTCCAAAAGGCCTTATTACCTGACTGCCATCCCCCACCCTCATCATCATCATCTAAATTACGTCAACATACTTCACTCTCATACTCCGTGTCCTTTTTCATGTAAGATTCTTCATAATTCACGACAACTCATTTATTTGTATTTATCTAACCTTTACCTCTTTCACTGGGTTGCAAATGCCAGAAGGGCTAGAGATTAGTCTTACCCACAGATCCTCAGACCGTCCATGGTGCCCGGCAAACAGCAGACAGCTGAGGATATTCTGGTTGAATTAACAAACTGAAGTGTTGACAGGAAGGAACACGGGCTGTGGTAGTTGGGACTAGGACCGGGAGTGGGTAGCTTTGGTCTCCGCTCGTCTGTAAAACTGAGGGGTGCTGTCCTTACCTTCCTTGACCAGAGAGTGGTCAGGATCACAGATCATTCTGTTGAAGTGTGCAGTAGCTTGAAAAGCTTGTGTTCCTTGGTTCCCTGGTGGAGCTCCTGCTCTGTGTTCGGATGTGGGAACACCCTGTCTTGTGTCCCTCGCCACAGGTGAATGGGGGAGCTTCCCACGGTCAGGGAGTGAGCGTCCTGTCCCCCTCCTATTTCTGGTGCCTAGTACCCAGAAGGAACTCAGTATGTGTTTGAGGATGGCGAAACAAGCGAAGCCACACACAGGGTGGCTGTGATGGATGAGAGGAATTTATAAGGGGTGCGGGGTTGGGGGGGGGGCCACGGTGCTGACAGGCGATTTAACTGGGGCTGCTTGTCAGTAGTTAGCTTTGTCTCATTCGGCAGTGTGTCTGCAGAGGAAGGCACGGGTACTACTCTGGGAGGAAAGGCATTAGGCCAGATTCTTACCAGGTAATCATTCTCATTTCCTACCCTGCTGGCATTGCCCACCGTTGGTATTTGAGTATAGCACACACAGGACGTGTAACTCAGGGTGGCCACCTTAAAGTGTTGCTAACTCCCATCCCCATTCTCTGCACTGTTTCTCCCCCCTGGCATCCCCCCCCAACCGGCCCCAGCCCCCTAGGGAGGCCCCCAAAGCATTCTGGTTAGCTTTGCGCTTTTTCACCGCAGTGAATCATTAACATCACACTTCTGTCCCCTCCTGGGTTCCATGGCCAGCAGGTCAGGGCTCTTCCAAAGAAAGCTGGCTAATTATATCCCTTGTCTGAACAAAATCCCACAAGAGGAGCAAAGCGGTGGCATATAAATGGAGCCGGGTGGGAGCGGGCACCTCTGACTAGCACGGGCAGGGGGGTGGGGGGGAGTGGCTTTTGAGGATTTGTTTCCTCCCAGCCCCTCTCTCTCCCTGATCCGTGTGGAACTTGCAGCCACCCTCGCTTGCTCGGGCTGTGTGTTAGACTGTGGTGCTGTGCTGTATTCAAAGACTGCTGCCAGTGGAGTGATAGGAAGACGACAGAACAAAGGGAAACAGGCCAGGAGGCTGGACGCTGGATGAAGATTGGTCTCCGGAGTTAGAAGCCAGGTGGCAGAGAGTTGGCTGAATTCTCCCCACGTCTCCATCTGCTCGTGGTTCTCCTCCGTGGGGCTCTGTCCCCCTTAATCCCCTGGCCCCTCCTACTCTCCCTCCGTACTCCCTTCTTGGACATAGTTACATCCTCTACTTTCCTTGAACCAAAACAGGCTTTCTAGCGAGATAACCAGACTGCAGAGGCCCAAACATTTTCAAGTATTTACCTCTCATCGTATTGGCATTTTTACTCTGGGCTGAGGGGCTCCTGGCCTGGCATTTGGGAAGGACTGATTCAGAGTCTCATCCACAGACCGACGCTGAGAAGCACTCACAGGTGGAGAGGGGTTCCCTGTGGTCGGGCGATGATGTCAAGAAGTCAGACGGAGGGTCAGACAGCGGCATAAAGATGGAGCCAGGGTCTAAGTGGAGGCGGAATCCCTCGGACGTGTCTGATGAGTCTGACAAAAGCACGTCGGGCAAGAAGAATTCTGTCATCTCCCAGACGGGCTCGTGGCGACGAGGCATGACGGCTCAGGTGGGCATCACCATGCCCAGGACGAAGGCGGCTGCCCCGGCAGGCACGCTCAAGACCCCAGGCACTGGTGAGTAAGAGGTTGTGCCGTCTCACCTCTGCACTTGTCGGTCTGAAAACCAAAACCGCAGTTTCTCTAGCGAGAACTTGACCTTGTTTGTAAGTCCCCATAAATGCTCAGGTATTTCTTCTTAGAGTTTAGACTCTGCTATTAACCAGCTTTCAGAAAGGTTCACATCTCTACCTTTTTCTAAGCGGAAATACGTAAGTGTGCAAGCCTCAAGCTCCAAAGGTGGTCCTGCTGCTGAGACGTGTTGATTTGGTTTCACCATGTGCTAGGGAAGAGCCAACATGCCCCAGTGCAGGCTTTTCAAGGGCACGTGTTGACGAGCTGTCTCCATGTCGAGTTAATGTTGTCCGTGATTTAGGGATGTGTGTAAACAAAGCTGGTGTTTTTGCAGGAAGGCAGAGGGTGCTGTTAGGGACAGCATCTTAATGGACAGAGAAGGAGAGGTCAGGAAAGGGCAGGATCTCTTTCCCAGACGTATCAGTGATTGGCTGGCTTTGCTTTGTTCTGGGTAAATTTAGACCGCTTTTGCGAAGGAACGAAACCATTGACATCTCCGAGAAGGCTCACGGTGACAGTGGTAGGCTCGATTATCTTTATAAAAAGCTCTTTCCTTTGCCTCCCAAGGCTACTGCTTTCCCCAAGGAAAAAGTGAACCAGTTCTTTGGAGGAGGGGAGGGTTTTTAACAAAAGGAGTCGTACCAGCTGGCTTCTCGGTTTGCAAGCTAACCTTGCTGCTCTCTCTCTTAGGAAAGACAGACGATGCAAAGGTGTCTGAGAAAGGAAGGCTGTCTCCCAAAGCCTCCCAGGTGAAGCGGTCCCCATCCGACGCAGGCCGCAGCAGTGGTGATGAGTCCAAGAAGTCCCTCTCGGGCAGCTCCAGGACGCCTACTGCCAATGCCAACAGCTTTGGGTTCAAGAAGCAGAGCGGCTCGGCCGCTGGTCTGGCCATGATCACAGCCAGTGGTGCTACCGTCACCAGCCGGTCGGCCACGCTGGGCAAGATCCCAAAGTCGTCTGCGCTCGTCGGTCGGTCTACTGGCCGGAAGACGAGCATGGACGGGGCTCAGAATCAGGACGATGGGTATCTGGCTCTCAGCTCCCGGACGAACTTGCAGTACCGGAGTTTGCCCAGGCCCAGTAAGTCTGCCAGCCGGAACGGGGCTGGGAACAGGTCTAGCACCAGCAGCATAGATTCCAACATCAGCAGCAAGTCCGCAGGCCTGCCTGTGCCCAAGCTGAGGGAGCCTTCCAAAACGGCCCTGGGCAGTTCTCTGCCGGGTCTGGTCAACCAGACGGATAAGGAGAAAGGCATCTCGTCCGACAACGAGAGTGTGGCTTCCTGTAACTCTGTGAAAGTGAACCCAGCATCCCAGCCTATGTCCAGTGCGGCTCAGGCTGCTCTCCAGCCAGGGGCCAAGTACCCCGATGTGGCCTCTCCCACGCTCCGCAGGTAAGGGGGTAGACGGCACTGAGCAGAACTGGAGTACATGGAATGGCCTCCTGAATGAATAATTTTTTTGTGCCTTGGTGAAAAGAGCTTCTGTTTTTCTCCATTTCTGTTTGGTCGGATCCTGCCAGCGGTTTTGCAGTCAGCTGGTTATTTATATTTTCCCATATTGGGATGAAAAACCTGAGTCAGCATCCTGGGTTTGAATCCTGGGTCCACCTTAAGTAGCCACCATGTATCCTTTCTTAACCATTTGCTTCAGTTTGCTCATCTGTAAAATGGAACACCTACCCGAGAGTGCTTGCGAAGATTAACCTGTGTAGCCGTATCTGGCCCATGGGAAGTACGCAGTCAAAGCTGGCTACTGTCCGAGATGAGATCTTAATATACCCCTAGATCCGAGTGGGTACAGAGGGGAAGGCAGAGGGCTTTTTTACCCCCTTGTCTTACTAGTTCTCTGGGTGAGATTCTTCATCATTATGCCAGACTGTGATCTCAGCCAGATCCTTCTCTCAAATAGCCCGGTATATCCCCCACCTACTTTTTTTCATACTGCATGCTTAATTCCAAATTTGTCTCTGAAATTTGAGCTTCCTTTAAAAAAAAGAAAGAAAAAAAAACTTTTAAAGCAGAAGTGTTTCTGAAAAAGAGAAATTAATTTCTTATTACCTCAAAAAGACATTCTCCCTAATTTCCACACCGAATGGAAATTCTCGTGTGAAAATACTATTATTTTTTAAACAGGTCCTTTTAAATTTAGACAAGTTCTATTTGTTTATATTGCCTCGTTATAGTGGCTACTGGACCGTCCTCAAACTGCAGCCGCATAGGGCAGAACTCATCTTCCCTGGAAATGTCTTATCACAGGAAAGAGTAGAAGTCCTAAGAATAAAAAATTAAGTCGCGAAAAATAAAAACTGTGCGCACATGTATGTATTTGGGGGCGAATAGGAATGTTTGAAAAGACTTCAGAAGAAGCCTGCCATGTGAAAGGTATAATGAAGTAGTTCACTGGTCTTTGTCTGGACTTGATTATTAGAATTTCAGTAATGATTAATTTTTCAGGGGAAGGTCCTCTTGAGCTGCTCTTTGTTGTTTTAGCAGATTGCCTTGTAAATGAAAGTTTTCTCTGTTTCTTGCCTCAAGTATTATATGTAATATTCACTCTCTGGTATTATAGATTTCCTTTAGTAACTACAAAGGTATTTTACTAGACCCTTAGGCTACTGTAATAGAATACTGGAAAATGCATGCAGATTCTTAGGCTCTAGATCAACTAACTTTCAGCCAATGCCTGTTAATTACATTTTTCCTAAATCATTAAGAAGTGTTCTCAATTCTCTCTTTGTGCATCAGTATGGAGAGGAGAAATCTTAGATGAAGCGATAAGCTCTCTTCAAATGATTTGAAGGACTAGCAGACAAAAAGTTGGGCTTCCTCTCTGTAGTGGAGAATTGGGGCAATGAGTAAAAGGGAAAAAGGTAGATCAGATTTCAGTTTTCTAGTGGTTGGGAAGTGCTTGACAATGGAGGGTGTTACCCTTTGAAGTCGTGAGGTTCCTGTTACTGGAAGTATGTAAGCATTCTAAAGCCAAGATTCCTTGAGCAAGAGGCTATTTCATTCTCTGATTGTCATCAGGCAAAAGTGTTTTCTAATCTGTCACCAGATACCCAAGTGAGCATTGATTATGTGTGTGGATGTTTGTTTTTACAATAACTGGGATTTCTAAGGACTCTTCTGGAGAGAACAGAGATCGGGATCATACCATTGAGTAGCTGGCTGAAAGGCAACCTGCCCGTCATAACACGTAGTAGTTTCATCCCTTTGCAGAGATGCACATTCCGCAAGGATTTCGGTGGACGGAATTATTTGTGTTACTAGAGCACATACCCGCCCTTTGACTTGAAGACAGTTCTTCCGCTCTTACTGGAGAGCCCTGCTGCCAAAGGGAGAGACATACGTGTCGTTTCCTGTTTTGGGGCAGCACATTTTTGGTCACGGGCAGGGGGATGACTTGGAGTGACATTTCTGTCACAAAGACCCAATGTGTCTGGTCTAACATCTTGTGACCCCAGCAAGATCTCTCTCTAGATCCCTGGGTAGGACTAGCCACCCAGCTTTCAGACCGGGTGTTCACGTGAGCGTAAATCTCTGAAGGCCCCATCCAGACCTAGACTCGTGTTCTTGACTGTTCATGTTGTCCTTAGACGCCAAAGCACCCGAGTCCCTTGGAACAGAGCTGTCATAAACTGAGCACCTGCTTTGTCCCTGGGGTCTCGGATACAAAGACGATTTTGGTAGCTCTTTTCCCTCTAGATGTTTCCTGGGCCAGGCAGTTTCCCAGCTACTCCATTTATGGAAATAGAGGGAAGTAAGATCCGGGGCCACCATGGCTAGGCCTATTAGAAATTATTCTGCATTGCCCTTGGGGTCTCGGCTGCAGCTTAGCACTTGAAGCTGGAGCCTTATGATGGCCAGTATCCAGGCCCGCTGCGTGGCGGCCTTTCCCAACAGAGCACCGTTTCAGTGGCGATGACCGTGTCCCTCCCCAGGATTCCCACCGCTCCCGTACCTGTGCCCCACCCTCCTTTAACTGCTCGGCGCCCCTTGGTGCTGGGTGTCCGACCCGCACAACCCTTTGTCTCTTCACAGACTCTTTGGTGGGAAGCCGACCAAGCAAGTGCCCATTGCCACAGCTGAAACCATGAAAAACTCGGTGGTGATCTCCAATCCTCACGCCCCCTCCACCCAGCAAGGTAACTTAGAGTCCCCCTCAGGCAGCGGCGCCCTGAGCAGCGGGAGCAGCAGCCCTCTCTACAGTAAGAATGTGGATAGCAACCAGTCTCCTCTAGCCTCCAGCCCCAGCTCAGGCCACTCGGGCCCCTCCAACAGCCTCACCTGGGGCACCAATGCCAGCAGCTCCTCGGCGGTCAGCAAGGACGGCCCGGGCTTCCAGTCCGTCAGCAGCCTCCACACCAGCTGCGAGTCCATTGACGTCTCCCTGGGCAGCGGAGGGGGCCTGAGTCACAATTCCTCCACGGGCCTCATCGCCCCCTCTAAAGACGACTCCCTGACCCCCTTCGTCAGAACCAACAGTGTAAAGACCACACTGTCGGAAAGGTGAGTGCCGTGCCCCTGTGTCTCTCAGAAGGACACCCTTCCAGCAGTCCACGGGTTATGTTAGGAGTCCCGAGCGTCCATTCCCCTTTGCCTGGAAGGCTGCGCTCTTTCTAACCGCTGCCGTCTTTCCATGGGGAAGCCCGTTTGGGATGGCAATAAGCTCGGCTCTGCTTCCCGTCATCTTTTCCCGCGTGATTATCCTCCGTGCTTGGAGGTGCTGGAAGTCTCTTGGGGGCAGGTTTCACGCTTCCGTTTGAAACGGCATTCTGCCTTTGAGGTCCTTCCTTTTTATTCTGTTCGCTCATCAGCTGCTTGTTTGCACCCCCACCTCCCCCCGTGATCATGCAGGCAGAGTAGGTGGCCGGCTGGCCGTGGCGTGGGTGGCAGGAAACTCGAGGCGGCTGGGTGGATTCGGTGGTCATCACGGCAGACACCCTCCTACCGAAGGGTTGCCAGCCCGAGCGGCAAGGCATCAAGAGGCTAAAAGCATCCTCAGCGCTCTGGGTTCTGCTGCAGTGTGGTGTGTGTTAGTGTCTCCACATAGGCAAGAACGCCGGGAACAGCACTGGGAATGAGAAGAATGTTCTAATCATTGTGTGTGACCACACCTCCCCTTTCTTCCCGTCTAACGTTCCTTCTCTTATTTTCCACCTGCCTGGACTTCTAGCCCTCTCTCTTCCCCTGCCGCTAGCCCTAAGTTCTGCAGAAGTACTCTGCCCAGGAAACAGGACAGGTAATGACATTGTAGGCCGGGGACCGCACCGAGCCTCCGGGTCCCTCTGCCCGTCTGTGTCGAGCCAGACGTCTTGTGTGAGGCTGTTGGCCTGAGGCTTCCGCTTGTGTTCGTGGCTCTGGTGCACTCTGTGACCCCAGACATGCCAGTGAGGGTCTGTTCCGCTGTCCGCTAAAGCCCCGGAGGCAGTGGGGTCGGGCTGGCCCCTCTCCCTACCCAGCTTGGGACCTTGGGACCGGGACGGCAGAAGCTCTCACCTGCATCTCAGCCTTCCCGTGGCATGTTCCTGCTTCCCGGCTTCCCACCCTCTCTCCCTCATCTCTCCCCTCTCCCTCCCAGCCCAGAACCGATCTACCACCCACTGTGCGAGCCACTCGACCCTCACCTTTGTCTCCCCCACCTCTACTCCCCACACGGCTGGCCCTTTTCCCTGGAAAAGTCCTTTGCTGCCCTTTGGCTGTTGCATCTTGCAGGCTGTTGTGTTCTGTGTGCCCATTTCCCGTAATGACAACGAAAAAGAATCCGTGGAGTGTTGAGGCTTTACAAACTAAGCGGCTTGTGTGCCCCCAGCTGCCCTGTGGGTGGGCCTCAGAGATGGATACGGACCTTCAATTTGTGGGGGAGCCACAGCTTGGCCAAGCATAATAACCAGATGTTGTTTTATGCTAGGGAAAAAAAAAAATAACGAAAACCCTCTTTACCCCGTCAACGGCAAAAACTTTGCTTTTCGTTGGACTCACAGACCAAGCTTTTACACCCTTGTTCTTTGGAAATGCAAATGCCTTGACTTTATCAGCCAGCAAGTTGTAACCTGCCCCAGCTCGGCCAGGGGGGGCTCAGCTCCCAGATACGCCAAGCTAAGAGGGACCTGGAATTCACTCTGTTACAGATGAATTCCAAATATGCAGACCGCTGGCCTCTTGAAAGCCTCCAGCAAGTCCCTTCTCTCGCTTGGAATCATTGTCAGTGGCATTTAAGGCTGGGCCAGGGTTAGGGGTGCAGGGAAGCTGGCATCTCTCTCCCCGAGAAGCAGTGGTGGTAGGACACAGGTGGGTGACTGGGCAGCAGGAGGTGTGGGCTCTGCTTCGACGTGGGGTGGCTCCTGAGTTGTGCTGTGAGCCTGTGGAAAAGGAGGAGGAGTCGGAGTTGAGTGGATGCCTCGGGCCTCCTGGTGACTTGGGGGAAGGTACGGACTAGGGTCAGCCAGCCCCAGGATTAGGCTTCTCTTGTTTCCT